TGAAAAGTTGTGTGCAAGATTTACGAATCTATGGTGAAGTTAAACATTAAGCACCGAAAGGTAGGGAAGCACCAATCACATGAAAAAGATGATCATCACGCATATTTATGAAAATAATGAATAAAAAGGCATTAAAATGTTACATAGGATACTTTTCTCTGATGTGTAACAAAAATGTCTCGCAGTTTCGCATTGGCGAGTCAACAGAGAAATTAAATCACATTGTATGCGTGTTCTCATCTAGGTTTTCTAACCCTAACCCCATTCTACCTTTAACCTAACCCTAATCTAATTCGGACCACTCCTAATATCTCCCTTATTAGGTTAACTTAATCCAAAACTGTCCTTAGCGTAAATTTTAAAGGAATTTTCCCTGAAAACCTGATTTTACTAACTTGCTGACTGAACGTTCCTAAGTTAATTGGTGTGGCTGCACTCCTCCAGTGCTTAAAATTGAACTTGGTTAAATTTCCTTTTGAAATCAAAGTAGATCTCATCACCAATAGATATTATTTAGAGTATAACAAAATTAAGAACACAATATTCAGTGAAGAAAAGACTATTTTCAGTGAATTTATTATCAAGCTGTACAATCGTATATATATGGTTTTTCTAAGAAATTATATCCGGTGAGGGAATTATATCAAAGGTGTGAATGCATGAAATGATAATAATAGTATGAAATGCAATTAGAATATTTGGGATTATAATCATAGTTAAATGTCAAGTGGCAAAATAATTAATGTCGTATATAGAATGATACATAAGGTGTATAGATTTTGGAAAGGGGTGCATAATTGTAGGATTAATAGGCGAATATAAAATGTCACATAATGTGGTGTGAAATTTGATACGATAGAATTCAATATTGTAAAAGCAAAGAAAAATAATAATAATTCTGGATTTAGAATGACAAGTGGGACAAGCGGAAACAATTCAGAGTGAGAATAATGAAAATAATAGTAGTAATAGTAATAAGGGAAAGGTACATAGACTAACTAAATAAACAAAATACATAAATAAATAAATGTATGTCACTCAACGTCCAAGGCAGAAGTACGGATTTTACAAGAATGGTTAAGGCCTCCGCTATCCTTAGAAGTCTGTAACGAAGAAACCGTGGATTCGGTAGATGATCTTGAAATCATAGTCAGGGTTGGCAGAGTGACAGGAGTCGATCAGGTGTTCTAGAATAGAGCTTCGCACACACTTCCTTTCTACCTTGTAAAACCATGCTGGAATATGTTCTCGTATCCGCATGGAAAGCGTCCTCTGACTATGGCCAATGTACCCTGCTCCACAAGAGCAGGTGAACTGATAGATGCACATGGAGGCGGTCAGACGGGAGAGCTTATCTTTTATAGAGGTAGAGAACAACTTGTGGCTAGTGAACGTGATATGTAATTTTGCTGCATAGAACGTCTTACTGACTGATTTAGAGAGGCGATTTTTGAGCATATCTGAAGCTTGATCACCTTCGAATTCCAAGTTCATGAATAAGGTTTTCTTTGGAACTGAGTCGATGACCATTTTAGACTGCTTATCTTTCGTGTTACTGTTAGTAAATCGCTGAGAGTAACCGTTTTCTGCGAGGGTGGCTTTTAGGGAGTCAAGTTCTGTGTCAACACAATCAGAACTATAAATGTTCGTTATCCTAAAGTGGAGTGAATGAATTAGGTTCCTTTTCGTGGAGATAGGCACCAAACCATAAAAATTAGTTAGTTGTCCGTTCCATGTCCGTTTGCGATGGATGGGTCTTTTGAGAGATCCGTCATTACGTCTACTAAGGCACACATCAAGAAACGAAATACTAAGTTCGGATTCCTTTTCTATGTTGAATTGTAAAGAAGGATGGCAGTTGTTGAAAGCAAACAAGACATCATCAAGAATTACGTTTTTATCGCAGATAACGAAAGTGTCTACGTATCTTTTATAAATGTCGAAATGATCGATAGTTTGACTAAGTTGAAAGTTTTCAAGCTTCGCCATAAAACAATCAGCCAGGAAAGGACCCAATGGTAATCCCATTGAAACACCATCTCTCTGTCTAAAAATCTCATTATTGAAGGTGAATTGAACATTCAGCGTGCATCTCAATAAAAGTTCTTTGAGGTGGACTACCGGCAACCCTATTTCTAAATTATGTATATCAATATGATCACATATACGGCAAACGGTTTCCATAAGAGTTACATCGGTAAATAGCGAAGTCATATCTAATGAGAAGATGACTTTGTCTGAGACATTAAAATCTTTAATAATCTCAATATATTTAAACACTATGTTTGAAATTCACTGCTGACTGTATAATTCGAATGCAGATGAAGGATAAGCTACCAAGTATTTCCAGTTCAATGTGCATTTATAAATTTAACTGTTTTGGTTGAGACAGTTACATAAGTAGCACGACCAGGAAAGCCCATCATCGCTTTCTTAAGCATTGTCCAACATGGTTAGGTAAAGGAATTGTAAAGTCAATCAGGAGTTCCATATTGTCACACCTTGTGAATACGGGATCACAAGATTGATCTATACAAGGTCCCACCTCAATTCCCACCCCTGGTTTGTTCGCCTTCGATATCTGTGGCAGTTACCATAAGAATTTTCCAACCCAATCTCTGTTTTCAGAAAAATTCTGTCCAATCCCTCTGCCTCTTATGGTTTTCAACACCAATCTAGAATAGTTTCTTTCTCCCGATGACACAGGCTAACTGTAAATATTATCTTTATTTAATTCACTTTTACATTTTTCCATCGGCTGATTGGACCGAAGTGCTCGATCTCATGTTGACATGTCGGCTTGTTGTGCAGATGCTTCGACGATGGGCGGATGGTGACTAAAAGTGGAATACAGGATGCGCATTTCGTCCTATTTGGGACTCGTCCACCAGCTGGATGTACCTGCGTTTCCCAGTGAGTGATGATGTTCCCACCGAGGCTCGAACCCAGTGCTCATAGATTCAAACGCCAAAGCGTTATCCTCTAGACCACTTGGGCCACGAGCAGCCGACATGTCAACCTGAGACCGAGCACTGCGGTCCAGTCAGTAGGCGGGAAAATCTAAAATTCAATTAAATAATTAATATGACCCGTTGCACAAGAGGTGGCTCTCGTGGCCTAAGTGCTCTAGTGGGTGACGCTTTGGCGTTTGAAACTATGAGCACTGGGTTTGAGCCTCGGTGGGAACATCATCACTCACTGGGGAATACAGGCACATCCAGCTGGTGGACAAGTCCCAAATAGGACAAAATGCTTATCCTGGATTCCACTGCTAGTCACCATCCACCAATTAGCTTATAGATATTATCTTTATTTATACTACTAACTTTATTATCAGTATCATGCTGTGCAGCAGTTGCATATTTTAATCTTAGTTTCACGATTTATTATAGTTATTATTATTATTATTCTAATCGCATTCCCATTGATTATACTTGATTCTATTGACGTACATTGTTTTCAAATATTTATAACGGTGGAAGACAAGAGACTTGGTGATATCTCTATATTGCGAAATTATGCACACCTTATCTTTTACGCACCATTTGCACAGATCTTCCGTGTTGTACTACTTCTGACCTTCATATTGTGTCACTCTCACATTTCCCATGGATCTCCACAAAGCTGTATCATTTACTTTCTCTGACATCAAGTCTGTCTTCCTGCAATTTGATGTCTTACAGGAAATCAGTGGCGAGCTCGAATATCTCAGTGGTAACGTCTCTGACTGCAGCACTCACCGGTTGACCCGTCGGCACGAATCTCAGAAGGGGCATGAGTTCCTTCAAGGCTGCAGATACGCCTAGCTGACTGGTGAGTGCCAACTATCACGAAAACTAGGTCAGACTTGGCTTCCTGCCAATTTCTTCCAACTATCTAATATCATCAGAATTAATTGTCTTGGATCTCCAGGTAAAATAGCAACTGACAATGAACCACGTGACACATTGCTATATGACCTGAAGTGAAAAACAATCCTTTATGATATTTCTTCTTTGCTTTCTTCGAGAAATACTAGACAGTTGGTTGATAGTTAGTTAAAAAAAAAGTATAGAAACATATTGTTTTGATACAAGGTGAATAATTGTAGACTGACATTGGCAATTTGCACTAAAAATCTTAAGAACGATTATCTCATGTATTGTGATGTAACGGCAGAAGGCAAGACACGTTGGCAAACGTCTATTTTCTATTGATCACTGAGCGCGTGATTTTGGTTTACATTAAACGACATGAAATCGAATGTCCAAATGCATATATATAGTATTCTGTTGCTAATGCAGTACTGAACTGTGGAAATATGTGCGAATAGCATTCTATTGGAACCACCCATTGTCTGTATCACTCCACCACAGTGGTATGCTGCTCCTCACGATTTCGCTTCTTCTCAAGTTTAATAGACACTTGCAAATCAGCAGATTGTAGACATTTTAAAAACTCACTAGAATAGGAAACACCATTAGGAGTCATATTTTATTTGATTAAAACAAAGTATGCGAGCAAGAGGAATTATATTCAATATGGTGATGAAGTATTTGGGTAGCCCAGGATTCAAACTGGCAGCCTTTAATGAAATGCGTCCACTGTAAGTACAAAAGAATAATTGGAAGGTGATATTTTCTATTAAAAGGGTTTAGATTTTTGTAACACCTGTTTCTCTTTTTGATATAGATTCATTTAACGGAAACTTCCTTTGTTTCATTGGTTACTAGGAATTTTCGCGGTTATTCAAATAGTAAAGTAGGCCAACATTGGAATTCTTCTTTGTTGTTCATTTCAGTAACGGGATCAGAAACTACGTAAATCCTTCTCTTAGTAATCAATCATCACTGGGTAAAGGTACACATTAACAAATACTAATTCACTTAAATAGGCGATTGCATCACGTGACCTCAAGGCCAAAACGACTTCATTTCTGTCTAGGTTGAATAACTCAGATCGATACTTGAATATGGTCTGAAAAAAAAACGATGAACTGAAATACCCACACCTAATAGAGGATGTCAGAAATAGTTAATCGTCATACCTATTCGAGTATAAAAGATACAATAAATGATGCCTTACTGTTTCAACCATTGCAAATGACAAAGCATACTGTACAAAGCAGTACGCATGAATCTGGTATCCAGTGTGGAAATGCATTGAATACAGAAATCGACGTCTATCGTAGACGTATTCAATCATTACTGCAATTTTTTGATTGTATATCACCAATGTGGTGGGATCGCTTATATCCATTCAAGGGAAATTTTATCAAGCGTCCAAGTAGAACTGCTGAAGATGTTCGCTTCCACCAGAAATGTTTACTCAGTCATCTAGGCAAGTTCAATATGCGTAAGGTTATCCCAGCTACAGCGGCGATTTCAATGATGGAAACACACGCGTCTATAAAAGATCTCCCGCCTAATCTATTAAATCCAAATGATATAACAAATTTAGATACAACATTGACAAGTGAAAATAACGCTACCCTGTTGAATAAAGCATGTAATTTGGCGCAAAATTTAGCAGATATTGAAAAACTGAAACAAGATTTAATTTTAAGTGCAGTAAACTGGATAATGAGTGACGGGAGAGACTATAATCTACGCATTCAACGTATTGCTTTGCTGGAACGTCATAGTGAACCGTGTTTAATTGAAAATTTCCCCGGTGTACGTGCTTTATTAACGCATTATTATAGACCGCGTATTTTAATTAATGATTACATGAATACTACCGAATCAGATTATCCATCCTCTTCATCTTCAGTGTCACACAGTGAACCATTGACAGCAATCAAATTGACTACAACCACTGAGCAAATTCTTTCAATGTTTAGAAATGCACGTTTAAAAATACCAGTTCAAAATCCGGATAATTTAATCGGCAGTGAAGTAGATTATTTCAACAAGTCATTTAATTCAACACACAACCTCTTTTTGTCTGATATAACTGAGAAATTAGATCATCATTTAGAAAATGATGGTTATATTACTACTCAAAAGGATACACTATCGAATAACTTCCTCCTACTGAATCCCTTGTCTTCCTGTATTGATACAAGTCGGCTGGAATGGTTGAATTATGAAACCAACCAAAAAGACTTTAGTTTACACCTGTTAAATATGGAAGAGTTGAAAGAACGTGAGAAAACAGCTAGTATTATTAAAAATGGTTCAGATATAGATAAAACACTTCCGTATGATACGGATGATAAGAATCAAGAGTTTCTAGTTCATAAAGACGTTGAAATTGATTGGAATAAACTTAAACTGACGTCGTCAAATGACGGTGATAGACAAGCATTTCCTCCTTGTTCACCTATTTCTCTGCTGCCTACAACAACTAATGAAAATGTTGACTCATTGACATACGACTCAACAAAATGGGAAGAGACATCATCTCACTTATCAATGAATATAAATTATCAGGATGGTTTACCCTCGTTTACAGAGAAAAAACAACAAACAGACCAGCAACAACAACAACAGCTTCCAGAGACTTTACTGTTGAATGATTATTCTTTAGAGAAATCCTACTTAACCGTTGGAGATTTGCCTAAGAAATCTGATGAATCACCTGTATCTGGAGCAGGCTGTGGTGGAAGTCTAACACAAGCACCATCGTCAACAAAATCTAAAGGTCTAAGTAGACTTTCTGATCTGCTTTCCTTGACTACATCAACAAAGGTATACGATAAAGAATACACCAACACTGCAACAACAACAACAACAACAATAACAACAACACCAACAACAACAGATTTAACGCTTAATTCATTTAAAACAAAATTACTGAAAGCGGAAAATTTAACAGGACAAAAAGAGCGAGTTGAAGAACCCGCCATTTTATCAAGTTGGTTAAATAATCAACGAAGTAAATTTTTTATAAATGATAAAAGAGAACGGAAACCGTTTAGGACAAAAGTTAAAAGTAGAAGTCAGATTAGAAAAATGCATTGTCCAAGTGACTATCATTCAAAGCATTATCCAATATAGTCAAAAATAGGGTAGTGAAATGGCACACCTATCATTTATCTATTTATTTTTCAGAAGGGGCAATCTTATTCAGTGGAATGAACAACTGGAACAACAGTTCATTGACAAGGTTTAACCTATTCACAAATACAGATTTGTTAAAAATATGGTTGCAGTGAAGACAATTTTCTTTTCGGCGAAGTCATCAGTTAGACTGTACATTAGTGTATTTATATTAAATGTGTGAGCAAGTTCCATAATTATTTCCGGTTAAAGGTTAAATTAATGAAATTACGATCCGTGTTCAAACTAGAAAAATTACAAAGTTTAATAATCAGGAAGGTCGGGTAGAAAAGACAATAAGATTCTAATTACTGGAAAACTATTCAGTTTGTAGAATTACGGAAGGTGAGGCGGCATCTCACCGGAGAAGATACTGCGAAGTGGTCGCATTATGTCATGAATTGGTAGAAGTTAGAATTCATGCGCTGGCCATTGGACCGGGTCCCAGTGGCTGCTTAATGGTCTACGAGCTCGCCTTATGACCAGAAGCCCCTGGGTTCGAACCCCGGTGGTTGGTGTACAGGTGAAGAGTCCCAAACTAGGCTGACGAAACAGCTGTCCAGTACCCGCAGGTTTTCTAATGGTTCTCTAACCGACGTCAGTTCATGATGAAATCCCCCAACCAGTTACGGATTAAAAACGTGGTATTAACAAAATAGGTAGGACTTTCGGACATATAAAAATTTTAAAAAAATAGCAACCAAATTTTAGTAATGCAGATGGGAATTAGAGACGTAAAAGTAGCAGAAATAAACAGGAAGGTTAGACAAGAAAGGTAATTAGATAATCATTATTTGTGGGAGTGACTTTTCATGATGGTTACGTTAGGGACAACAGTTGAAGGTGCTTTTTTTGAATACATAGAGTGGGCTTGAGTTTTTGGATCGCCAGTGCCTCAGTTATTGCCGGTTGCTTGATTTCACTCCCTTTGAGAGAGTGGTTTTATTGGATCTTGTGCATCACTTTGAAGGACTTTTCAAGTGGAGCTGAATATCCTGAATTCACCAGATCTTCTGTTACCAAACTGTACACACCTTTGTGTCCTCCTTTTTCTAACCACGCTGGACAGTGTTCCCGAGCTCATTTTACAGGTGGAGGCATGTTACAGTTAATGTACTCGGCTCCACCCTGGCAAGTGAATTTGTATATGCATGTTGAAGTGACCCAATGTGACAGCTTATCTTTTACGTTCTGGTTGAATAGTTCTTTGCAGGAGAATGTTACTCGTTGGCTGGCGGAGAAGTATGTTCTGCTGAGAGACTTCGCAAGACGTCTATGGAGAAGTCCTGCTCCGACATCACTTTTAAATTTGAGGTTAAGTACCACCATCTTTCTGGGGCGAATTGGACCTTCTAAGGCGTTTTCTTTGGTTTTAGATTCTTGTCTATGATTCAGGGTGGGAATCCATTTTCTATCAAAGTCGCTCGGAGATTTCACAATTTTTCGTCAATTGACTCCTCAGTGCAAATTTTCCGGATCCTCGAGGAAAGAGAGTAAATTTGGTTTCTCTTTCTGCTTAGAAGCACGGAACTTTGAAAGTTGATGAATTGTCCATTCCTTGGTGGTTTTTTGTAGATGGATCTTCTTAGCCAGTTGTCAGCATTCCTTCATATTTAAAACCTAATTCTGTCGAAATTTATAAAGGCATTTATTTTATTACCGAAAATCAATTCTTATTCTTTCATTTCGTTGTGCACCCAGAGTTATCTAGTTTTGATTCTTTAGGTCAATTTCGAAGAAGATTTCTCAACCTGCTTCCATAGAATTTTAATCTTTGATTTAATCGCTGAAACATATGACCCTTTTCTCCAAAAAACCCTGATGGAAAACGGTTTTCCTCCCAGGTTCATAGACAAGAATCTCAAATCGAAGACTTCCGAACAAGTCCAGTCCGTTCCAAAGAAGCTGTTCAGCCAAAACGCGAAAGACAAGCTGTCGCATTGGGCCACCTCAACGTGCATATACCAGTTTACTTGCTCTTGTGGAGCTGAGTACATCGGCCGTACCATGCGCCGACTTGAAAAACGCGCTCGTAAACACTACCCAGCCTGGCTAGTAAAAGGAGACCGAAAACGTGTATACAGTTCAGTGACAGAGCATCTGGTCAACTCAGGACATTCAGCGCCTTTCGAAAAGTCCTTCAAAGTAATATACAAGATTCAATCAAACCTATCAAAGGGAGTGAAATCAAGGCATCTGGGCATAGCTGAGGCGTTAGCTATCCAAAAGCTCAAACCCACACTTTGTATCCAAAAGAAATACGTCCAACCCCTGTCCCTACCATGGCCATCATAAACAGGTAAATTTTTTTTCTTTTTTAGTAATGACCATACCATCGCCTTTCTTATCTAAACTTCCTGTTTTCTTAATCCCTGTCTACACTACCGTATTTTCATATCCACACTTCCTGTTTATTTTGTCATTTTACTATTTCTACATATTTAATCCCTGATTGCATAAACAATTATTCATCACATTAGTTTTTTATCCAAACATCCTGTCTATTTTGTTATTTTTACATTTCTAACCCCCAATTGCACAACATCAATCTTCTTAGTTATTATGCAACTTTGTTTGAGTTTTACTCGTCCCCTGTTTATTTTGGCATTCTAATTCCTAATTGTAATTTTTATTAATTTGACCCTTAACCGGAAATTATTCTGGAACTTTCCCATCCATTTGTGATAAATACACGAATGTACAGCCTAGATGATGACTTCGTTGAAAAGAAAATTTTCTTTGCTGCAACTGTCTTTTTATTCCCTATGATCAAACATATGAAGGCATACTAATTCTGTATGAATTAGTACTGGGATTGAACACATTGCATATGATGGCCGACCAAATAAAAAATGGTGAGTGATCCAAACGAAAAACCGATCATGTTGAATTAACCCATGAGATTTGCGCCATATGACATAACATTCTCAGCTAAAATGTTAATTCATGTTCAGAAATTAATAACGTCCTATCCATGATCAACTTTGAAACAGATCAATTTCCTAGAAACTGACTCCTGGAAATTAATCTGTTGCTCACCAGTGACTGGCTGCAAGTCCAAGTTGATTGGAGTTCTAGTGTCACGCCATAACCAGCGGGGTCCATCATGTTGGGTGTGAGGACAAATACTCATCGATGACATTGGCTGAGGGTCGGGCTAAAATCAAGAATTGGTAGAATTTGAAATTCATGAACCATTTATGGGTCAGATGCCAGTGGTTGAAACTTTTGTGGGCTTGCCTTTTAGGTGGAAGGCCACTGATTTGAAATCCAGTGGGTGTATATCACTGAAGAGTCCCGAACGGGGTCGAAACAGATATGTAGTACATTTTAATGGTTTTCAATGGTTCTGTAACTGACAACACTCTGAGATCAAACATGAAGCAAATCCAATTCGTACAAATTAACTCTTGAAGATTAAGAAATCTGTTTCGTTTGGATACTGTTTTTAAGTTTTGGCAAAATGATGGCTTGATAAGAAGGAGGCATTTGTGTTTTTGTGGAAGTCCAGTGGACATCTAATCTCATCTCAAACTATAGACGGGTTTATATTCAGATGTTTTAACATCATGGGAAGAGAATCAGCGTTCGAGATGTTTTCTTAATTAATGTATTAGTTCTAGGGCTCTTTTTCCTAAGTTCAAGCTGCAGCTATCAAATATACTATTAATGTGCCGTTGTCGAGCAGACAGCCATCGCTGTACAGATGGAGAATTCTTCGGTTTCAACTGTAAAGTGGTATCAACACCCATATGACTTGTAATTTAATAAGGAAAAGTTTACTGTATTTACAATTACTCATTGAATTTTCTGGGTAACTTGACAGCAAATTAATGGGAATATGGACTTTCAGCTGAAGTGAATGTATCATATCACTCTGCTAACTAAGCAACTGTTTACTCTGGCGGATAAACATTATTGCACTCAAAAGTTAGTGAATACATATACTACATTTTATATACCACCAGGTCTCTGACTGTTGCTACTTGACATCTTGAGGACTCCAGCCAAGACATGCAGCACCTAGCTATGTAGGTCAAAATAACACCTTAACTAAAAGGTTAGACTCAATATTATTATTACTCAGAATATTATCCCGTTTGATACGGAAGATTGAGTCAAGACATCAGTTGTGTACCACAGACGTAAATTTGAACGGAGAAAACTATTCGGCTGCACACACACATTCACACTTTGGTGCATCGACAGATATCCTGCCTGTGACAAACATGACGTACGTTTGAAAGTGTCAAATAAGCCTTCTGTGTTGTGACAGTGATTTCCTCAACAATCAGTCCACTTCAACTGATGCCACCACTCTATCATTCTGTTTTCGATCTTTAAAATTGGAGTCCATGCGAACCAGTCCTTAAGGTTCATTCAACATTCGCCAGACAAATAATTTTCGTCAAACATACTCAAGTGTTTTAACAAGGTGTTCCGAAAGTTCCGTATTTTTTCAGCCTCGTCACCTTAAGCAACAGCATCACTTTCATTCCGTAGATAAATGAGGCTATTTCCCGATAACAGTTCCTGAAAAACTGAGGTAAGTCAGTGTCATGTCTATTAGTATATATATGGTAAAATTAAATACGAATTAGGACAGTCGGTATCTAAATGAATACCTCCGGTTGTTGTTAACACGGAAAATAAGGTTCCAGTAGCTACTGCATAGATATATAACACCCAGGTAAAGTACTTCAATTACTTCAGTAGTTCTTCTTGATATTCTCTTCACATCAAACACTTCACCCTACCCCTCAACCGACGCGGTCAAATCTCGTCTTCAGGGAAACAAATAATGCAAGTGTTGAACACAGGCAATTATTCCTATGTTCCATAATATATCAAAGAGTGAACATTTAATCAATACACCTTCCCCCAGTCATGAAACCCAACTTCCTGGTTTCACCGAGCCCCACTCAGTCTTCTTCTCAGGTCTATTCACCTTAGAATCT